CAAAAATTTTGTTTATGTTTCCTACAACTAATATGCAGAATGATTTTTCATTATTATTATTATTAATAATAATATTAAAACGCATTTAATAATTTCAAATTATTGCTAATAATAATAACAACACTATAATATATTTAATAAAACAAAATAAAGAATACTAATAAATTAATTATTATTAAAATATAAAATAATTTTTCATTATTATAAAAAATAATTTATGAATAGATTGTTTTGCAAAATGATTGCATTGCAATGCTACTTGTGCCATTTATTAATAGACCCATTGTTTAAAAAACATAAGAACATTGCAAATATCAGTAAAAAAATATTAGTCAAGCCTATCTAAAATTCAGAAACACAGAAAATTGCAGTCTTCTTATCTGTTTTGCAGTGATAAATGTAACTCTACCAGATGAGAAGCAGAACTATGTTCATCGCATTGGAAGAGTTGGCAGAGCGGACAGGTGACAGCCAGCATTTATCTTTAGCTGAAGATAACTATCTGTCTGCGTTTACATTTTAATCATTCATTGATATTTGTGATGTCATTACAGGATGGGTTTGGCTATATCTCTGGTTGCTATGGAGAAAGAGAAGGTAAGTAGGAAGTAAAGCAGAACTGGCGGTGTAAAAATGTAATGTGTTAGTGTGTTAATTGTGTGTTTGTGTGGGGTTTCACACAGGTGTGGTACCATGTCTGTGCCAGCAGAGGAAAAAGCTGCTATAACACCAGACTCAAAGAGAATGGAGGATGTACTATTTGGTACAACGAGAAAGAGGTGAGAACTCGCTCAATACATTTACATGACATTTACAAGATTTGAACTTATTTTATACTTACTTTAATTGTTTTTCCATTTTAGTTGTTGGCAGAAATCGAGGAACATCTGAAATGCACCATTACTCAGTGTGAACCTGACATCAAAGTACCTGTGGATGAATTTGATGGCAAAGTGACTTACGGGCAGCGCAGGACTGCGGGGGGTGAGTGTATCTTTCAGGTGTCCTGTTTGTATGCTTCCATTTATTGTATCTGTTACTTATCTCTATATCTATTTCCTCTCACACACCCCAGGTGGTCTCTATAAGGGCCATGTGGATATACTGGCCCCGACCGTACAGGAACTAGCCAACCTGGAGAGAGAAGCACAAACGTCCTTCCTTCATCTCAGCTATCTACCCAACCAGCTCTTTAAAGCCTTCTAGAGCTCACTTGCATACACCACACTGAAATAACCACAAAGGAAGACGCAACAGTCACTAACTTTGCATAATATAAATATTTAATTTCTGGTTCATGAGGTTTGACATGCAAAGGAAATTAGCTTGTTCTGTTATTGATTTGTGGTGGTTTCCTTCATATTTTGAATTGAAGAAATTTAAAAAAAAAATGGTTTTGTTTTTCTAAAGCACTTAAGTTGTAATCATGCAAATTAACCGGAAATAAATTCAAACAGCATAATGCTTCTGTTTTCTTGAGTTATTGTGTTTACACCATGTAAGCAGAGCTCATCAGAGGTTTAAGCTCAATTAGACAAAATAGTCAAATAGTTTTTCTTATTTAGCTAAAAATACATTAAGTATTATTTTAATAAAATAAGAGCTAAATAATTTATTATAAATAAATTTAACTCTCTTTTTTCATGCAGTAATATAATTACATAGCCTATTCCAAAGACACACACTTACTGAAGTTATGCTATAGGCTGCTGTCCACACTTCAGTTTTCTTTGCTGAATGTTTAGCAGCTTGTGCAAATGCTCCAGTCCGTTTCAGTCCAAAAATAAATTAATTAGCAATTAATAAATGACAAACCCAAAAACAAAATTAAAATTTATCAGCTAACTGTAACAATAAATTTAAAATACTGAAATAATAAAATATGAAAGAAATGTTTTATTTCTAATTTATATTAAATGTATACGTTTATATGCCTAATAGCACTGCAACTATTGCATGCTCACGATGCTTCACTTACTCTGCAGTTCCTAATACTTACACTAGGTGGCGGACTTGTCCTAATGGAGAGGCTCCCACGCTCTCATTCCCCCTGAGACGTCCATTGTATGGTTCTTGCCATAAGCGCTGCACTTTTATTTATAGTAGAGTAGAGCAATGTCCAAAAGAGGGCAATGACGTTAAATCTCATTAATAATCCAAAACTGCATCACTATACTCTTAGTAACCCAGCACGCATATGTTATTACAGACTCCTGTTTAAACTCAAATCACACACACACTCAGGGGGACATCTCTCTGTAATTATACCCAAACTAACAGCAGTGCTCGTAAACAGCCCTGCATTTTAAACTAATCCACACAAGACCCCACACACACACCTCAACTTACATTCCTACCCTACATTTGATTATATAATACAGTTACTTATGGATTCATACAACAGATGGGACATCACGGAGCCTGCCGGTGCTGAAACACTCTGATCGAGTTCCTGTTCCTGACAGGAACCCATAATATTCGACCTCGATCCTGAACCATCAACCAAACTTATCAAAAGTTGTTTAAAAGTTTTGATTTATCTTTTTTGTCTGTTATTCACTTCTCCTTTAATGTTATGTAACTGCAGTAGCTCTGTCTGTGTGTGTGTGTGTG